AAAAATCCCAAAAAAAAAAAAAAAAAAAAAAAATGAAAGAATGAAACGAAATAGAATAGCGAAACTTGAAATAGAAATGAATATAATGCCTGTGCATGATATTATGTGGAACAATTAAAAAGTTTTTGTCGTTCTCGTTGTCGCGTTGTACACGGCCCGAGATAAGCTAAACAAATCGCTCGGCCCTAGGATAAACAGTGGTCATGCCACGCCCACATGCCCACACAATGTGCCCACGCCAGGTATACAGATTTATGACTTGCCACGAGGCAGTGCAGCACGCGACTTCCCACAACCCGAAAAAAGAAGGAAAATAAGATCCAGATATTATAATAGCCCGCTTGGAGCTAATTAAACAAGCTCGTCTCCCACTTGTTCTTCCTCCTCTTCTTCTTCTTCTTCTCTTTTGTGGCTCATTAAACCTTGGACAAACTGGTAAAAACTAAAGATAAATAGATGAAAAGCGAGTCATGTTGTCGTAGGGCTTAAGCGACGAGACGATGTGCTGTAGTTCGTCTAAGCAGTGTTGGAAAGCTGACGTATTTAGACTGAGCAATAGGGCTTTATAATAGACTCTACACGCGGGTCTGGCTGCTCGACTTTGAGCACATTCCTTATATCAGTAGGTAGTCTAATGTGAGCACGCAGCTTCCCAATTTTAATTGATGTAACCAGTAAACCAAATATTTTCTTATATTTAAGGACTTAAAGACTATTCACTTGCCAAATGGGAGCCCTATAGCTGCTATAGTTTTCGAGTTATAAAGTTATGAGTTATGAGTTAAGAGGTAAAAATAGAAGCAAAGAAAAGCGTATTGAGAAGTTCAGCAAATGAAGTGAGCAGAGCCCTAGAATACAATATGTATGTAGAATAAAGAAAGCTGAGCAGGAAGCCTGACTGTTCTTATATAGAGTAAGCCCAGCTAGGGCAGATAGAGGATCTCACATAGAAGACACAGAGAATCAAGCTGGACCTGCTTCAGTTGTTTTCAAGCAATTTCTGATCTTTATCAAACACAAATAATATAAGCCAGATGCACTCGTCTCTAGGCTAATCCCAGACCCACACATATATAAAACTGGCATGCCCCGCTGGAAGGCATTTACCTAGGGTATCAAAACAAATAACTGTATGCAAGAATGTCGCACAACACAGTTGCTTGCTTTGATAGTGTGTGTGAAGGTGTATGGGAATAGATGGGCGCATGTGTGTGTGTGTGTGTGTGTGTGTGTGTGTGTATGCCTTAACTATTTGTTTTGTGTCGCGTTGTTTGCTGTTAGCGCTTCAAGTGTGTGGCTACCTGATCGCAGCTCGACTTTTAGGCCAACATGAAAATTGGTTTTCGACGACTTTGGAAAACCGGTTTTTCCTTTACCTCACGTCATTTCACACCCTCACATGGGTTGTGAACAGTTTCCATAGTTTTCACATTTGTCACTTTTCATTTTTCATTCGAACTAAAATAAAATTGAATATATTTTGCAAAATTTGTCAAGAGAGAGAAAAAAAAAAGAAATGCTTTGCTTTTGGACTCTTCGAGTGTAGATATAATTGTTTTTGGCCCCGTTGCCAAATAGAATTTTGGCATTAGACGTTTAGTGGCAGTATCTGCACTTAACCTTAACCAAAATCAAGAGCAGAAGCAGAGAGAGAACGAGATGGATAGATAGAGAGATAGAAAGAGAAAGCGAAAGGGAAACAGAGAAACAAACAGTTTTCCCACTTTTTCCGCTTTTATGCGCTGAAAATAGCGTTTGATGTCAAATTTAGCTCTGCCTTCGAGTCTTTCTCTTTCTTGTTTAATGGGTATTACTTAATATTTGATTTGAAAATGTTTTCAATTTCAATTTGCTACATAAGACACAAACATTCGCTTTCAGCTAAGAATTTTTATTTGTATTTTTATTTATTTTTAAGTTTTTACGACACGCTCATCTTTTGTTTTTTGCCAAATAATTTTTTTTTTGGTTTAGTTCATTACGGAATTCAGAAAAATACACGAAAACTCTTACAAAATTCCAATAGTCAAAATAAAATTTGTGTGTGTGGAAATTTTTGTTTGTGACCCTGCCCAACCTCAGCGCCCCCCGCCTCCTGCCCACAACCACATATCAATAGCTAACTATACCCTTAAGGTCAACACTTTAAATAGAGAATGAGCGAGTGAGAGAGAGAGAGAGGGCGAGAGCGGGCGGAAGAGCCAGACAGACATTGAGACGATCAATATGTATATATAGGGAGAGAAGTGATAAATTAAAATGTCTTTTTGCCCACTGAGCGAAGATCAAGCGCTTCATTGGGGAATCGTCTGACATGTCTAATTTCAAATGCGGCACAGACATGTCTCCCAAACTTGATTACAATTGGATGTACATATATATGTATGTGCATGTGTGTGCGTATATATAGTATATACATGTATCCTAAAGGGTTCGCCCATGTCTCTTGCATACTAACTAGACGCAGATCAATGAAATCTCCATTCCCAAGTCTAGACAATTTTTATTTTTTATTTAATTTCAGTTCATTATTATATAAATTTCCTTGCTATCGTTCCGGCTGAAGAGCTGCTGTACAGCATATTTAATTATATAATTCCGGTATATATGTATGTACATATATACATATATTCCTATCAAGTGCTTACATTCGATTTTCATCTTATGCTAATTGACCGCTTTAAAATCTCTGTTGATACACACAACAGTTTGCATATTTTCGCTAATTGGTACACTGAGAGAAAAGCTCACTAGGAAACTCAAATGCAAAATCAATATATCTATAAGCATTGCTATGTATATATATATCAATTATTAATGATTTTTTTTTATCAATATAAATACAAAACAATTTTTATATACATTTTAAATTTAATTAAAAAATTAGAAAAAAACAAGTAAGAAAGATCTAGTCGAGACTGCTCGACTACGAGATCCCCTGAACCC